CACTTTTGCAAGTAGTCTTAGTTAACAGTTTAGTTTGAATTATTTCCCCAATTTTTCTCTCTATGATATACATATTATACGTATCATCTGGACTGTGTATGATGTATGCCTATCTTTTATATATGCATAGATATTATACTAATGGAATCACATAACATCTAGTCTTTATTTTTCTCCATTTTATTCAGTTGCGTGTTTGTTTTCATGTTTATTTTAAACACTTTAAAAATTACTGAGAATAAAAGAAATCATCTATAACAGTATATAAGTTAATATTCAGTGGAATTGAAAATATCTTGCTATCTATTTTTAGGTATCTCAGATTATCATGGTTTTAGTACCCTAAAATCTATTGGAAAATCACTATTGAAAGTCGGCTATAGAAATATTAATAATATGTTTAGTTAATTTATATTCCTAAATAAAACAAGTAGCTATACCTGTGTCATTCTTCTCCTCTCAATTGTTTAAATGGACTGTCTAGTATTTGGACTTTGTTTCTAATACCACATTTTAAACATATCTTCAAGTTATGCTGAATTCCATATCCCAGTGAAAAAGAGATTATTCAGTTGTATTTGTTTTGTTATGATCATTAATTCATAAGAGTGCGAAGAAGATGCAGGAATGCTTAAGTTTCTAATCTGGTTGTTGTGATGAAGAGACTTTATGATATGGTTTGGCTGTGTCCCCACCCAAGTCTTATCTTGAATTGTAGTTATAATCCCCATGTGTCATGGGAGAGACCCGGCGGGAGGTAATTGAACCATGAAGCCAGTTACCTCCATGCTGTTCTTGTGATAGTGGGTGAAATCTTGTGAGATCTGATGTTATAAGGGGCTTTTCCCCCTTTGCTCAGCACATTTCCTACCTGCTGCCATGCGAAGGACATGTTTGCTTCCCCTTCTGTAGGTTTCCCAAGGCATCTCCAGCCATGCACAACTGTGAGTCAATTAAATCTCTTTTTATTTTTTAATTAATTACTCTGTCTCTGGCAGTTCTTAATAGCAGCGTGGGAACAGACTAATATACCTCACCACTAAAAAAAATAGACAATGTGTTAATTTATAAAGTTTTAGGTGGTATTTATGTCTAAGAGAATAGATATAGTGACTTGATTCATGGCTAGGATTGACTGTCATTTTTCTGCACATTTTTTTTTTCCAGATTGTATAAAGAGTGTGCAGCATTGCATTGAAATCAAAGAGCATAATCCACCCCAACTCCAACATGCAAACACATGCACATACACAACTAAACATTTATTTTACTAATTTACGTGCTTTTGTAGTTGAGACAAGATTAGTTATTGTTAGTCACACTGCAGTTATTATTACAGAGATGGGTTAGTACAGCGCATCATTCATTGAATAAGTAAATTTTATATCAGTCATGCAAATGAGCTATCCTGATGCCTGGCAGAAACCAAAAGACAATTATAGCTCATAAACTTTGATACAGTCCATAGTTGAAGAAAAAAACAATTCCAAGCTTGTTACCATTTGAAATTTCAAATAACCTTTAAGAGAAAAAAGGTGTAAATTTAACTCTATATGAAATATACTAGGCATAGTTACTTGTTCATGGGTCAAATTATGGAAATAATTTAAATATGTAACATAATCATAACTGCTTATGTTTGAATACATTTTATATTAATATTTTAATAATTGTGGAGCTTGTAGGCTATATATGCCCAAAGGTATTTTCATATTCATTCAACAAAAATAAGATTTATTGCCAGGGATTGATCTTGGCACTGTAGTAAAGAAGACAGAAAGAATACATATTCTTGTCAAGGTTGAGTAAGTAAATACACAAAGGAATTTTATCTTGCAATAGGCACAATGGAAAAGATAAATATTGAGAATAATAGTAGAGACTATAACAGACAATGATGGCTATGCCAGTAAGTTACAATTTAATGAGAAGATGAGAGCTGAACTGAGATCCAAATGATCCAGGTAAGTGATAATTAGGTGGAGGAGTTTATCAGGCAGAAATAACTACAAGTGCAAGTCATCTGAGGCAAGGATTCTCGTGGATTTTAGAAGAATTTGGAGACAGCCAATACAAAGGGAACAAGGACATTGAGATGGAGGGTCCACATATATAAACAAACTTTTAAAATCATCCTAAAAAACTGTATAGGAAATTATTGAAAACCTAGTTATCACTAAAAACAGAAAATATACACATATTCTACTTTATAAACTTTTTTGTATATTATTTTGCTAAAAGAGAAAAAAGATAGCCAAAGTCATTTAATGGAATCATGTTGAAAGTAAATTTAGAGTTAAATTATTCCTTTACAATTCATCATATGCAGATGAATTTCCTTTTTATTATTTACTTTCTTGGGACTAACCAATGTGTAAGATTCCATTTTAGTGTTAGAGTCTTGAAAAAAACTCTTTGCATTCATCCAATCCAAATATTTCCTCTCTAACCTTTGAAAAATGAGGAAACCAAAGACCAGATGGTTCCAGTGATTTGTCCTAGGTCAAAACAAGCTGTACCAGGAAAGGCTCTAGAAGTAACATCATCAGAGCACTCAGGCAGTATGTGTTTTTCTACTGCAACACAGGCAAATCTGTTATGGAAACACTCAAGAGAGAGAAAAACGAAGTTGGTTTGGAAATGTAGATTATAGCTACCTTAAAAGCATCTGACAATTTTCATGAGTACACAAATGTCTGACTTAAGTAATTCTTAAAGCAACTCTAGTAGATGGCAAATGTTATGCCAGCCATTTTTAAAGAAATATATGGTGAATGGTTTCCCTGTTTAATCTTACAGTAAGTGGAATCTGATGTAGTAAAGAGGTTTCCTGGATCCTAGTCTAATGTTTGATAAAGTTACAATTTTATTTACATCTGTTTTCATAAAATGTTGAATGTTACAACTTGGTATAAATATTTATTTGTATAATGTGAATAAAAGAAATATAAATTACAGCAAGATATATCTAATTATGAGCATTTGTTTCTTGTCTTTTTAGTTGCTATTTATTAGAATATACTCAGGATGAGAACTTTTATAAAAAGTAGCTTTTCAATAGAATAAAATATTTTTCATAGGATAATCTCAGTGAAAATAAGAGTGAGTTTGTGACACTGGGGCCCGCCTGAGGGTGGAGGCTGGGAGAAAGGGGAGGAGCAAAAACAACACAAAAACCTGTTGGATGCTAGGCTGAGCGCCTGGGTCATGAAATAGCCTGTATAACACACCCCTGTGACATTAATTTACCTGTATAAGAAACCTGCACATCTACCCATGAACATAAAAGTTTTTTTTTTTAATGAGTGAACTTAAGAAGTAAAGTTTTATGATTACTGTTGCCAGAGCACACACGTAACTTGTGTTTTAATTTGAGAATATTTTTAAAGCCATCTGCAGCATCTCTAGGAATCCTGAGAATGTAATCAGTTCCCAATTAGCTTCTCAAAAAAGGATAAAGTAAAACAGTGAATAATCCAAAGAATATTTCTATTCTAATTGTCTAATTACTTTTATATTTTCTCTTTCTTTTTATTTTTTTTCACACTCATTTTTTCATGAATTGGATATGAAAACATTTTTTTTAGTGACCCAACTCTAATGGATAGTAGAGGGGAACAAAGCGTTCTTTCACTGTAAATAATCTGCAAATTTCATTCTACAAAGTGACTTTTTATTTTTTTAATTAAAAAAAAATTTATGTGCCAAATGCCTAATCTCATTTATTATTTTTATTCATTTTTCTTCTTTAACTTTTGTTTTAAGTTCTGTGGTACATGTGCAGGATATGCAGGGTTTTTTCGTACGTAAATGTATGCCATGGTGATTTGCTGCACAGATCAACCTGTCACCTAAGGTTTAAGCCTAGCATTTGTTAGCTATTCTTCCTGATGCTCTCCTTCCCCCTGTCTCCTTGACATGCCCCAGTGTGTGTTGTTCCTCACCATGTGTCCATGTGTCATTCAGCTACCACTTATAAGTAAGAACCTGTGGTATTTGGTTTTCTGTTCCTGCATTAGTTTGCTGAGGATAATAGCTTCCAGTTCCATCCATGTCCCCGCAAAGGACATGATCTCATTTCTTTTTATGGGTGCATAATATTCCACGGTGTATATATATCACATTTTATTTATCCAGTCTATGACTGATAGGCATTTGGGTTGATTGCATGTCTTTGCTATTGGGCACAGTGCTGCAATGAACATATGGGTGCATGTATCTTTATAATAGAATGGTGTGCAGTCCTTTGGGTGTATGCCCAGTAATGGGATTGCTGGGTCAAATGGTATTTCTGTTTCTAGATTTTTGAGGAATCACCACACCATCTTCCACATCGTTGAACTAATTTACATTTCCATCAGCAGTGTAAAAGTGTTCATTTTTCTCCACAACCTCACCAGCATCTGGATTGTTTCTTGACATTTTAATATTCACCATTCTGACTGGCATGAGATAGTATCTCAGGTGGTTTTGCTTTGCATTTTTCTAATGATCAGTGATGTTGAGCTTTTTTCATGTTTGTTGGCTGCATGAATGTCTTCTTTATAAAAGTGTCTGCTCATGCAAAGTGACTTTTAAAATATTGATAACTTTTTCTTTTAAAGGCAATGACAACGCTGAGCAGAATCATTAGCACTTAAAGAAAGAAAATAATCTCATAGAAATCAGAAAATACTCCATTAAAAACAATAGGGCATCTTTTCTCCCTTGGTTACTTAATATATAATTTTAATGTAAATATATATATATGAAGAAGCATGCATATGCTACTTTAGTTCTATCTCTGTCTGTTGCAGAATTGCATTATTGAGTCTGACAGGATTACCATTCATGTTAATCTGCAGTTCTGTGTCAATTTTTAAATTTGCATATGTGTGAAAACTTACAGAAGTTATAGAAATATGGTAGATACTTGGCTGACAACAACAAAAAACCCACCTCAAACTGTCCTGAACAAATAAAGCACAAAACCCGAAAATAAGTTGGCTCTCATACTAGACAGGCCATGATATACAAGCTTCAGTCATAACTTCATCAGATATTCTGCTTGATTTCTCTTTCATTTTCTAGGTTCTTCTTTGCTTTGTCTTAAGATGTATCTTCTGGCGGAGCTCCTTATAGTAGTGCATGCAAGTGTTACAAAATTTCTTGAGCTCACATGCTCACATAGCTACCTAGAACCATCAAGCACAAGTCCCAGGCTTCCCTCTAATTGGACCAATTTGTTCATTGACTTACTCTGAAATAATCTCTGATGTCTAAGGAATACCATGTGCAGATTGGCTTAAATTAGATTATATCCCTGTCCTCAAACCAACCATTGTACAAGGAAGGAATATTGTTATATGGATTGGTAAAGCATCCAGGGGCCCCCTTTGGAGACAGGAGTGGAGTCATCTTTTCTAAACTCTGAGAATGTATGACGTACAAAAACACCAAATCCTACAATGTATCTTGTTAAAAAAAGTAAGAAACAAACAAAAGTATATTTATAATGAGAATGAATGTAGGGAATTTTTTAAAATGTTTATTAAAATGTCATTTATATCATGGATATATATATTATATACTTTTAAGTATTTCAGTGACTATAAAGTCTATATTATGTTAACTTCATCATGAAGTTAAAATGATTGTACAAATGATCTTATTCTCTTATTACTCAATACTTTTTATAAATACAATTTTTAATAATTGCAAATTTTCACATTTTTCATGAATAACATTCACAGAGAGTTTAACATTATTATTGTAGTTAATATAGAATATAGTTATTCTACATCATATTTAATATTTATACTAGAGAAGACTTGATACAGGACTATTGGAAGTGTGCTTTTTGACATAAGTTCTCCGAATTAAAACAGGATAATAGTTATATTTTGCTTAATAAATCTGCAAGATTCTTTTTGGGTCCTATTTAACTGGTGGCAGGAATAGGATTTCCAAAAGGTTTATTAATTAAGCCAGGAAATATTTATTGAACCCACCATATGCAACTTATCATCCAAAACATTGTGAACAGAAAAAAAAAGTCTCTGCTTTCACTACCCATTCTAGTGGAGAGGGACAAAAAATAAGCAAATAAACAAGTAAAAAATTAGCATGTCAACCATTTTTAAGTGCCATAAAATAATAAATAAATAAAGTAAGTGGATGAAAGTCAGGGTTGTGGGTACAAATGTGGATTAGGTAAATAACATACATGGTGGAATATTATGCAGCCATGAAAAAGAATGAGATCATGTTCTTTGCAGCAATATGTATGTAACAGGAAGCCGTTATATCCTAAGCAAACTAACATAGGAACAGAAAACCAAATATTGGATATTCTCACTTATAAGTGGGAGTAGAGCTTAACATGTGCACATAAAGAAGGGAACATCAGACATTGTGGCCTATTTGAAGGTGGATGGTTGGAGGACAGAGAGGATTGAAAAATTACCTATTGGGTACTATGCTTATTACCTGAGTGACAAAATAATGTGCACACCAAACCTTCAATAAACACAATTTACCTAGATAACAAACCTGCATATATAACCTTGAACCTAAAATAAAAGTTAAAGAAAAAAGAAGGACTTTCTTGTAAAGTGAAATTTGAACAGAGACCAAAAATGGGAAGAAGCAGGCCAAGAAAATCTTCAGCTCTTGGGGAAGGGTTGTTGGAGCACTGGTGGAAATGATCAAGGTTTAGAGGAGAACATAAATGTAAGGGCCCAAATCAGGTGCTTGTTGGTTTCTTTCAGAAACAGAGAATTAGGGAAGAATGTAAGAGTGGAGATGAGAGTCTGCAGGTACTGGAGCATGGACCACCTTGTATCATGTACATAGGCAGACTTCAGATTTCAGTCGCAAAAGAGAAGCTACTGCAGAATATTAAGCATAAAGATGATATTCTCTGACATATTTTGAAAGGACTATCTGGGTTTCCAGATTGAGAATAGGCTATGAGTTGGGAGAGTGCTTTATGCTTTATACTCATATAGTCTGGGCTTTCAGTGTGGCAGTCACTATTTTAACAATTACCTGAATTACCTCATTTTATTCTGCCAACAATCCTATGAAGTAAATGCTGTTTTTGTCCCCAATTTACACATTAGTCAATGAGGCTGAGAGTAAATCTGGTGTTAAAGGAGTAGAGGTAGGAGTGACAATTGAGATGTGCTTGATGGGGACTGCAGCACCTGAACTTGTAGCCTTGGTGTGATCTTTTCTCAGGTCTCATTCATCCTCTCCTACACAGCTAATTAGGACCTGGTTAAAAGTATAGTGGCCAAAGGTAGTGCAGATTTAATTAACCAACAAGATAACTGCATTATTTTAATAAATACTTATTATTTGAAAAGCATTTTAAAAATAAAACAAATCAGAAGAACCTATACATACAATTATGATTGCTTTCATTAGTTTAAGACTGTTTAGTTCTTAGAACATAGTAAATGTGGGAAAACAGAAAACTTAAATTAGGAAACAAACTGTTTACCTGTAGTCAAATAGCATAAAGTTAAACATAAATATATAACTGCAGCTACAAGCAACGTAGACAATAAATGGCTTATGGCATCTAGATCATGCTGAAAAGTAGAAAATAAGATATATAGAGAAAGCTAATAAAATATTTTTATCTACATTTTCTTAAATATAAACTTAAATACAATTGTTAGTTGGTGTTACTTAAGCCAGTGACCATAGTCTATGGTCTAATTTCTCTTGACTAATTTATTCCTTGCAACAAAGACCTGGAGAGAAAATCACCATGATGCTCATGCCTGCCCAGTCCTCTTTCAATGATGTAATGAATACTTTTTTGTCTCACTTCAGGGTTACAATTGCAAACATGTAATGAATGGTGGAAGAGCTGGGAGATAGATAGATAGATACTCTCTCCCATGTTTTTCTAAATACATACACACATTTATGTGTGAATGATTATATAGATATATATGATATATGTTTGTGTGTGTCATGTGTGTAGTGCAGTGTAAAACAGGTGACGTGATTATTTTGCCCAAAATATCTCTTATTGAATATAAAATAATTTTTTAATCAGAGAAATTTTTGACATGAATTATTTTAAGTTGAAGAATACATATATGCTTTTGCTTTGAAAAACTATATTGCCTGTCTTCAGAAATGTATGTGCATGCCCAGATACACCACTTATAATTAAAATGTCGGTAGTGTCTAAGGTGTTTAGTCTGTGAATAATTTTATGTGGTCTTTATTTTCTTTCTTTCTGCTGACTCTCACTTGCAGTGTTTGGATGGCATTTTTGGTGTAATTGCTAATCTTTACAATAAGACTAATTACATACACACACGCGCGCACACACATACACATGCACCCATATCTGAAAGCATCCTTTCCAGAAGGCATATTTTAAATACAAATAAAGAAATTGAAATGAACTAGATGTGAATGGATTTACATTCTTCTAATTAAATATTTAGACAACGTATTCATGTAAAAAATCTAAAAGCAAGGGAGAGATACAGCATAAGGACTAGCACACAGTAACACTGAATAAATAGACTAATAATTTTTTTAGTGCTTCTAAGATCTCATCAAACCTTTCAACAATCTATAAGGTCAGTATTATTATTTTCATTTAAAAATGAGAAAAATGGTTAATTTGCCCAAAGGATTTTAACATAAATCATTCTGACCTCAAAGTTATGACCTTTAAACCAAATAATTAAATGTAATTATGTGAAGAATGGAAGTATATATTTAGGAAAATTAAAAAGTTGTATAGAGATGCCAGTTGACTTGTCATATGCGAAATAATACAGCAATGAAGTTAAATTTTCTGAGTAAGAATGGGAGAAAACAGCAAAATCATTTGTTTCCTAACTATGAGCTTCTACGTCAAGTGGGATTCCCCTGTAGGTGAACTGCCTTATTTCTCAGAAATTTTATAAACATTTTGCTTGACAAACATAAATAAACTTTGTATTCCTAATTACATCTTCAAATTTAAAATCTTACTGAAAATTTCCCTCGTGAAGTCATGGAACATAGAGTAAATTTAAATATATGTCAAGACCAAGAATTAACATTGTTACTTTTAAAAATGCATTTATAAAATAATTCTGTTTGAAATTAAGAAACAAATGTTGCCCAAAAGATTCAAGAATCTAGATGTTGTTATCTCTGTTTTTCAGAATCTCTGCTTAAAGAATATGGAGTCACTGTTTGTTTACAAGGCAGAGTTTCAGGAGAGTGGTAGCCTGAGCAAGTTAGTTTTGACAGAGGTGCCAGAAATTATCTAAGACATTTCTGAGAGGAAGGCTTGATAGATGGGATGAGGAGGTGGAGTGATCCTCATTCCAGCAGAGCCTGGGGTAGGTAGGGCCTGAAGACAGCTTTCACATATATAACAAATTTAACCACAGCAGAGAAGGCTATTTTTGGTCCTACCTTTATAACCAAATATTGGATTATGATCAAGCTCTTATATTCAAATAGTTGCCTATATCTACTTTTACAGATTTGGTGTAATTATGACTTTCTAGTGTTTCTTGGCAGTCCATTCTATAGCAAAATGTATATTTTATAGGATCTGATATACGAGATTGATTATTGTATTAGGCCATTTTTGCATTGCCTAGGTATTGCTATAAAGAAATACCTAAGACTGGGTAATTTATAAAGAAAAGAGGTTTAACTGGCTCAAGCACTCACTGCAGGCTGTACAAGCTTGGGGATGACACCACTCAGCTTCTCGGGAGGCCTCAGATAACTTTTACTCATGGTAGAAGGTAAAGCAAGAGCAGACACTTACGGTGAAAATAGGAGCAAGAGAGAGAATGAGTGGGGCAGGGGTGCCCCATGCTTTTAAATGATCGGATCTCAGGAGAACTCACTATCCTGAAGACAGCATCAAGCCATGAGGGATCTGCTCCCATGATCCAAACACCTCCCACCAGCCCCTACCTCCAGCACTGGGGATTATAATTCAACATGAGATTTGAGCAGTCAATCAATATCCAAACAATATCAATTACTTAATTTTATACTTGTATTACTGGAAAATAAGTTACTATTGAAGTAATTTTCTGTTATACATTTTACCTGTATCATAAATGTTA